CCAGGGATGACCATGAGCTTGTGATGGGGCGGCAGCCCCGGGCCTCTGCGGGCCTAGGCTTCTGCCCAGCGCCCCTGCTCAGGGCGAGGGGCTGAGGTCACACCTCGGGCACCTGGAATCCTGGCCAATCAAGGCTTACCCAGCTGGAGGCCCCACATGAAAGACTTTTATCATTTTATTAAAAACGCAAGGACCTCAGAGACGTTCTTTTCTGTATGGACCCTTCCTGCCATTTCTATTTTGTTCCAGAAAGAAGGGCTCTTTGAGGGGGGGATCCCCTCTCCCCAGGACGTCAGGGGGTTGGCCCCATCAATAAATTGAACCTGGTTTTGGTTTAAAAAAAAAAAAATCTCACTTAAATATGTAAATAAATAAACTAATGAATAAAAACTAAAGCAGTATAAAATTACTTTGTGAATACCCAAATTACTAAACTCTCAATATTGATCTCCTTTGCACAATACTTGATACAGCCCTACTATTTCAAGTGATTTAAGAATTTTTTTTTTTGTAATGAGAGTGATCTTTCATTGAAAAACACAATGGCACTGAAGTATCAATGCTTGGGAGAACATTTCAAAGTTAGTATATTTAGGCTAGTGCAAAAGTAATTGCAGTTTGGACCATGACATTTAAATCATTGCACCTTCTTTCCCAGCCTGCCATGGAAATTCTAACATTTCTTCTTTGCCTAATGTGGATCATTACTTTGTTCACGCTTCCAGGCACATATTAGTTTTGTGTTTGTACAATCTTAGCAGTATATTTAATCCCATATTTCAGGAGAGTTCTCCAAAAACAAATCAAATCTTTATTCAATTTTATACTTTTCCCCTCTTTTCAAGCACACTCAGATTCCAATGCCATATGTATTCTCCTATAATTTGTTGGTTCATGCTGGCTAGGTTCTGCAGCTCCTTTGAGGCATTATTTTTTTATTCTATATCAGATCCAGAACACCTCAGGTAATTTAAATTGTGATATAACCCTAATTGTAATGGCTAGAAGAAAAGATAGGGACCTTCAAAGGGGTTTTCTTGAAGTGTAGTGTCTTCTGCATTGCTTCTAATGAAGGGTGTGCTCAACTTTCATAAGGAAGAGTGAGCCACGTCTGCAGGCTCAAGGAGTTGATGAAAAAGTAGACCTTCCAAGATTTGGTGATTAAAAAAAAAAATACTTGACTTAGCATCAATCAGCATTGGATTGGAGTTGTATATTGTTTAGAGTTGGACTACTTTTGCAATTCAGACCTGGACGTGTTCCTAGGCTTTCTCTGCCCTCTCCAAGCCTCTTTGCATAATTCCTAGGTGGGCCTGTAACTTTCGCAACTGGCTTTTAACTGCCAATGATCAGTTTGTTTTAGATGTTTTTGTCTAGCCATTCAATCCCACTTGTAATATTAGACCAGATAGAATATTGTTTTCAACCACTATAACATAACAATATACCAGTAGTAAAAAGCTTTTATACTTGGATTGCTACCTTGTGTCAGAAGCTTATCTGTCTGCCCCTATCATCAGTTATGGAGTGCACATTGCAGGCCTTTTGGAAAGTCATTCAACTCTCAAATACCATTCCAGCACCTGCTTTTTGGGCCATTCCTGGTCCCAATTATGTAAGCTAGGTTTTCTGAAATGCAGATGCCAGGATGGGGGCTAACATTCAAGACGACTGTGAAGGAACAGTTTTATGGATAGAAGAAATAAATCATATTAACGTGGAAAATGAGAGCAATATAGTCTCAACAAGTCTCCAGCGATTGCATGGGACATTCTAAAACTGAGAGGAAAAATCTATGTTCTCCTGAATTGAGTTAATCAATTTTCAATATTGATGAAATACTGTATTAAGGCTAATCCAAACAGTGAGTGTGACCTTGGGTGAGGTTGCTTCCAACTATAGGGGGTGCTGAGAGTTGAAGGCTCTCTGCCAGCAGCAGGCCCTGAAGCAGCAGAATAAACCTTATATGCCTAAAGAAAAATATGGTGGTGCAGCCTTTTAATGTAAAAATCCTCCTGACTTTAATTGAATAGAGGTTCTATAATAATATACCAAAGGTTGAGAGAACATTTATGAAGAATGTTATCATTAAATTAGTAGCTCCTAAACTTATTTATTAATACAGTTAACAGCAACTATGTACACTTGAAACAATATTATCTATATACATCTATTTTTCTGTGATATAAGGCATTTCCATTATTTAATTTACAAACTACACCTGGAAAAAATATAGATTTGTAGACCCTTGATTGTTCCACACCTCTTCGGGCTGAACAGTCATAAACTGCAGGCTTTAAAGCAGACTATTTCCGGAACCTTCTACCTCTGAAATTCAATGACTATAACTTGAGTAGGATCCTCAATTATCTTTCTTTTGATTAATATACAGATGTTATGTAAAGGTGTCTACATAAGTGCTGCAAAAATCAGTAACATCAAAAGAACTACATATTTATTTTTATGAACAGTATGTAAAATCTGCACAATAGTTAGCATAATTTTTAACTTTGCAGTTTTAGAAATTGTTATAATTCTGTAAACAACACACTAACATTTCATTATGACTTTAGAGTTATAAGTAAAAGATGTTAGCTGACTTGTTATCTAAATAAATCTTGCTATGGAGAATAAAACAGAATTTTATAATTCATATTTACTTTCACAAATGTCGTACCTCCAAAGTTCAATTTGAAATCATTAAACATTTGTTATCTAATGTGTTTCTTTAAAAAAAATTGAAAAAGGAAAAATAACTAACAAAAATAAAATGACAATATATGAAGTATAATGAGAGATGTAAACATCAATCCTGATTGCTGAACAGAAATGTGGTATTTCAGAACATTAATTATACTGATATTCAGTGTAATCCTTCTATGAGAGGTTGCATACTTTTATGGTATAAATGACATCTTTATAAAGTTCCTTATGATTTTCACCAATTTGATGTAGGGAATCTTGAGGTATTTAATAATCTCAAACTAATACATTGTCAATAGTAAAGAGAAATGTGAAGAGGTGAGAAAATGTTAAACCATTTTATAATTTCAGTATGTAATACTATTTCAACTATTATAATATAAAATAATTTACATATATTTAGGATCTTAAAGAATTGATTATACATACATATTCTGCAATGTTACAGGAACATAGCTATGGACATGATGTGACAATGACAGCTATTTTATTTGACTCAAAAGTTTATAACATTTAAAACTGGGTCTCTTCTGACTAATTTGTGAAATAGGTTGCTATAAATCTGTGATGACATTTCATCGGGTTTATAGTTGTTTTGGAGAATTTAGTAATATATAATAAGCATATGATCAGATTTGCAATATGTAGCATCATTGACATTTTACTTTCCTTTGCAAAAGGAAACCATTCCTGTTTCCCAAGTCCAAATTATAACCCCTTCTCGTGGATATTTTTCCTGGTTTCATGTCCTAACTACACCTATGAGGTATGCTATAAATACTTGAATTCTATTTATGATATACTCTATGCATGTACTTCTGTAGTTACATATAGTATAAATTAATATATACAAGAATTGAGGTCCTATCTATAGATTCTGGTATGGGAAAATAGAACATTTCAATAACAATTTTCTCTGCAGAAACAGGAACATTTCTGCATAAGTTTATCTGTATTTAAAGAATATTTTAAACTCTTCCTATAAAATGTCAAGATATTTTAGGAGTTTCATTTTATCAACTGTTTAACAATGTCTTTTATTTTTTTATGAACATGTTACCTTTTTATGAGATTGCTTCACTTTATTATATGTAAAAATTAAAATGTTTTTGAAAATGTATTCCTACCTACAAGTTTTCTAATGTTTAAACCTTATAATTACCTATTAAAAGCCACAAGTGAACAAATTACTAGATTACAGTTATGTATGTGCTAATTTAAGTTTTAATATAACAGACTGGATCAGGGATTAGTTTCACAGTCATGACACAAACACTGCCAGGTAAGACCTACATTTACTGACAATTAATCAAAATAAGTGCATCTTTAGGAGAAATGGTTTCCGATAAAACGTTATGATAGTACTACAGTATAGCATGTTTGCAAAAGGATTTTATAGTTTCATATTGATTTTGATTTTTAGCAGTTTTAAAAAATGTTGAACTATTATTGGCTCTTTATCTCTGTATAATTGTTGCTTAATCAAAGCTACGAATTGGAATCCACATATATAATAATATATAATATATATTATATAATATAATAATATAAAATATATATTATATAATATAATAATATAATAATAATTATACAATATATAATATAATATACACATTATTTATATAAAATAATACATAAGCAATGAGTTTTTTTTTTTAGAAGAAGTTTTGGTAACAACATATTTCATTTGAAACTTTTTTTTCAAATGAAAAAATGTGTATGTGTTTTGTCTTCAAAGGAAGAGTTGGGTTGTATGAGAGTTAATCTTGAATACTGAGTATTTTAACACACACTAAGAAGTTGAATTGCATGACTTTCTTATGGTAGTAGTGACATATGTCTTGTTCATTTTATCCGTTTTGTTATATTGCTCGAAATTTTGAATCACAATTAATATGGTTTATTATATTATGTGCGTGTAGAGGAATATTATATGCATCTAGGAAACTATTATTGAAAATTTAAAAATACAAATATATATCCTTATTTGGGAAGTAGTTTGTGGCAATGATATATAAAACATGTAGATTAATTTTGAACTTGATAACGTATTTTCTGTGTTTACTTATTTACACTATTGATTGGCTATTGATAGGGAATGGGTGTGAATAATGGAAATTCTTATGAAATTATGCAACATTTGACAAACATCTTAAAAGTTAAACATGGTAGTGATCCTTTTTCTAATATAACTTGATTTCATAGAAATAAGAAAGAAATAATAATTATTTCTTTTTTCTTCTAGTTGGAATTTTTACACTTCTGATGAGTATCCAGAGGTCTTTGTGGGCACAAAAAAACCATAAGATTTATCTGAGAAAATTCAATTCATATATTCATAGAAAATCAGCAATGATTCCATTTATATTGTAAAAAATAACTTATCTTATAAGGAAAACATAAATTCAATATATAAATTCAATAAACAAGACTTAGTTAAGGATAGTTAATTATTATATTTCAACAATTCATAAGCAACAGTATTTTTACTAAGTAAAAATATAAGAGTAAAATTTCACTAAATTTAGAGTAATAGACAAGGTAGTAAAAAGTAAAAATTTCAAATACAATTAACTAAGAACAGCTCTGGATATATATACATGGGATTGGCCCTGAATAAAATTGTCTTCAGTAATACTTCACTATACTATTTGCATAAGACAATTAAAATATCACAGCAAAAAAACAAATCTGATTAAAAAATGAAAAAGTAATCTGAATAGACATTTCTCAAAAGAAGATCTAGATATGGCCAATAGTATATTTTAAACATGATAAAGATTCAGAAAAAAAGTGAACTCTTAAACACTGCTGGTGGGAATGTAAACTAGCACCGCCTCTGTGGAGAACAGCATGGAGTATCTTCAAAAATCACGAATAGAAATATCATATGATGCAGCAATACCACTACTGCACAAAGGAAATTTGTGTATTAAAGAGACATTTGCACCCTATGTTTACTGCAGCACTATTCACAATAGTCAAGATATAGAAACAACCCAGGAGTCCAAAAATAGATGAATGGATAAAGAAAATGTGGTACATATACACAATGGAATACTATGCAGCCATAAAAACTGAATTCCTGCCATCAGGACAACATGAATGGAACGGGATGACATATGTTAAGTGAAGCAAGCCAGGAACAGAAAGTTAAACATTGCATGTTATCACTTATATGTAGAAGCTAAAAAAAATTGCTGTCATAGAAGTAAAACATAGAACAGAGGACACTACAGGCTGGAAAGCTAGGGTCAAAGGGAGATTATCAAGAGATTTGTTAAAGGATACAAGGTTACAGCTTGGTTGGAGGAATGATTTCTGGTGTTCTATACCACTGTAGGATGATTATAGTTAAATGCAATATATTATGTATAGTTTCAAATAGCTAAAAGGAGATTTTATGCCCAACACAATGAAATGATAACTGTATGAAACCATGGGTACCCTAATTACTCTGATTGATCACTACAAATTATATGTATTGAAACATTATTATGTATCTCCCAAATATGTTCAATTCTTATGTGGCTTAAAAAATAAAATTTAATTATAAAGTATCTGAATTCTAAAGTAAATATATTTTTAAATTTTTGACATTTAAATTACTTGAATCTCACATTATTTTGACAATAATTTAATTCTTTTATTGTTTGATCTATTAGAGAGATGTTTCATAATTATTATGTCATTAGTTCAAATCCTTGTAGAAATTATATCTGTATTAAAAGTGAAATATTTTTATTGATCTGTATATCTTATTTATTAACTATATAGACAATGTATGCAATCATGTAGGAATTCACAATTAAAATTTTTCTATATATGATTGTTAAATCTCTATAAATATTTTGAAATATATATTTGTTTATATTCATATGTAAATTATATTTATATCTTCTGAAATGTATTTCAATAGATGTGTCTATATACTTGTGTTTATGTGTATGTATATAACCACATTTATATATACACACGTTTATATATATATATATTTTTTTTTTTTTTTCAAATGGATTCTATGCACTTGCTAAGGGAAAGTACATTAGTAATTTGAGGACCTGAAGAGTAAAAAATTTTGTTTTTTTACATCTTTAAATAACTATGTTCTCTGAAAGTGTGTGTGTGTGTGTTTGTATGTGATCATGCATATATACTTAAGAAACAGATTACCTACATAAATCGAAGAACACATTATTTAAAATATTTAAAAGAAGTTTCCAATTTCTTCATTTTCAAATTGTGATTCTTTGGATTTGTTAGTCTTTGAAGCATTTTCAATTCTCAGATTACATATATGTAATAAAATATGCTCATTAATGCTCTTAGATTGTATACACATATGACAATATTGACCTATGGTAAAGTAGGTCTATATGCACTGGGCAGGGACTGATTATTGCTAACAAATGCGGCCATTCAAGAATAACAAAAAGCCCCTTTAAAAGCCTTATAATTCCCAAACTATACTCTTTGAAAAGCTGAAGCATAGTATCTAAGATATTTAGTGTTAGAAGGAAGATACATGTGTGATAGAAATTAAGTAATGAAGGATTAAGGTAGAAAAGTATAACAAAATAAGCATTTTATCCATAGCAATTGTATATGTTGAAATAGAGTGGAGTCTAACAATAGAGTGTAATTCTACAGACCATGATTAATAAACTACAGTTTATAGACCTTTCTAGTCTACAAACTGTTCTCTATAAATAAAGTTTTATTGGAACACAGACAAAGTCACTTATTTGTGTATTATCTGTGACTAATTTCACACTGCATCAGTAGAGTTGAGTAGTTGTAAGAAAGACATATGGTTCATTTTTAAATATTATAAATATTTACTATTTGTCCCCATAAAAAATTGCTGACCCCTAATCTACATGTATGAAAATCACTGAATTAAATATGTCTTGTTTGCTTTGTGGATTTATTATGTTCAAAGTTTCTGACCCAATTATTTATCTTCTAATATTAGCTAGAGAGTTAAAAGCAGGCTTATATTTGCTATAGATATTTTATATAGCAAGTGATAAATTTTTACTTGTATTATCCAGTGTTTAATTAGACTATTAGAACACTTAAAATTTTTGTATGGCCTCAGGTTTACTACTGAAATTTGAACTTAAACAAATGTGGAAAGAATTACTAAGTGAAAGTCAGAAAGATAAGAATTGGAAGAGAAAGAGAAAAACCTCATTTATTTATTGGAAGAAAAAATGTAAGCAAAAGCCTGAGTCACTGCAGCAGTTGTGCAGACTTGAGTTTTAAGGCAAATTACGGAATCTGTTCATGTCTGTCTCTCAAAATAAAATCATGAAATGAAAACTGCTGGATTCATCTATGTAAGTTGCTGTCTTTGAGGCCATTTGAGTAAAGGGCTTGGCTGGTGGATTGTGTCCACTGTTGGCTGCCAGGATCAGCAGTTTAAAAGTACTCCACCTGGCATCTTATATTTTGGCTGGATAGCCAAACATGATAGGGTGAAATCACCTCAACAAAGATATTCAATTACAAGTCTGGTGTTAAGTATTGGGAAAAGTCAGAGAGTTAAGGACTGGGACGGCTAAAGCTCTGGAACAATATTCTTTATATGGTCTCTACATGTGTTTTCTCCAGCATGGAGGCTTCATGTATCTTACATTAAGCTCAGGGCTTACATAACACCATACCTAAGAGGATGAAAAGGCACATGGAAGTGCTATCCTTTTTATGAACAACTTTCAGAAGTGACATAGCTTCATTCTGCCATCCTTTATTAAAATGAATCTGTTACCAAAACACCACGGGTTTAGTCTAGGTACTATTTCTGTCCACACAGAAACCCAACCATTGAGACAATGATCATTGCCAGAAAAGAAGGCTTTACTCAAGTGCTGCAGCTGAGAGGATGGGAGATCAGTCTCAAACCCATCTCTTTGATGCTGGGTAACCCATGTAACATGCACTGCACCTTCAACTCATGCAAGTTCAGCATCAAAACTTAGGAGACCTGGGTACGGGACAATCTCCCAAGTGCTGGCCTCACAAAATCTAAGTGAGAAAGAAAGCTGAGAAAGTGAGGTGGTCCCTCTCATCCCAAACTGAGCTTCTACTACACAGGAACACTGAGCATCATCAACCACCCATCTATGACCATGATCTTGCCTGGTTCTGTTAGTGGAAGGCAACAACATATCAATGGTATTATAGCAACTATGTATACATATATATTTATATATATTTATATATATGTGTGTGTATATATATATATATATTTATGTGTAGGTATATATCAAACAATACTCCATAAGAAGTGTTCATGGCCCTGTTCCTTTCAATACATGGAAAAACTAAATGAAAACAAAAAAATACCATTAGGTTTACAAGATGCCCCAAAATATATGTTCATACATGTTTTCACGGGATACATGCAAATGATTTTGATCACTTGATACCTTGAAAAGAGCTCTTGTGGCACATAATGATATTGGTAATTGACAAGTATAAAATGAGTCTTCAGTCACATTAAGGAAAAAATTAACCCACAGATAGAGGAAAAG